TTTAACAATATCTTAGAACAGAAAATAAAGAAATTAATTGTATACGGCAACGCGACAACATGGTCGATCTGCCGAGTGGGGATGCCTCTTTATGGGAAACTGGCCCATATTTAGGGGTTACTAATGTGAAGAAATCCCGGAAAACTCCACGTTGGCCAGGCGCGGACCCTCGACTAGCTACCCGTGTTCGGTGCTTTCGTCCATTCGGCCACGGGGCTCTACCACTTTTCAGTTTTTACCAAAATGGCGGTTCACAGAAAACCGGTTTTGTCGCCAGCATTACGCCAAAATATCATTTATTGTGGCAACAGGTATTGAAATGCTTATCACAAAATATTTTTAATCTTATCAGCAAATGTTTCGAGCAAAATTAAGCAACTTCCCTATTATACTAACACGTTTTAATAAATATTTAACACTTTCCGCCCTATGGAGTGCCTTCTTTCCAGACGCATCGTAGGCCTGTAATGAGACGGTATGCGGTCCGATACGTTCGGGTAGTACCGTCCACTTCTTCTTTAATCCCGTTTATAGGGAGATTCTAGCCTGAAGGCCTTTTCTCCGAAATACCGCCCACTTAAATTCCAAGAAGTTATTCGCTCGGATTCGATTCCGGTTTCCCAGAGCGACTTAACCTCCTCCTCGCCCATATGGCCTTACAAATTTTATACTGTATTTAAAAAGAAAACGGATGAATTATTTTCGTTTTATTGTATCAATATATAACTTTCTTTGCAGCAGTCTATTGATAGTCCTTTTTAAGATATTGTCTTCTTAGTAGAAAGATAGTCACCGGGTTTGTTCCGAGTGCATCTCTAAGCTAAGCTCTTCTTATGAAAGCATGAAAATGTGTTCCATGTTGCTACAATAGTCTTTTCCATTAAAAAAAATGGAGCCAATGTTCGTTAGACCAGTGTTCCGCAACCTTTTTCTACTTGCGGCACATCGTGACTCAACACGGCACTCCAAAATGTTATTACCCTAAAATACATATGATATGATACTATTAATAGAATTACATAATGCCATTAACATAATATAAATGAATCATAAAAAATAGTAATATAGACACGAAATTTCGTAAATGATTGTATTGTTGCGATTTCAGTAATGCGAACAATGTTAGTATTTTCTAACAATATTTACGAAAGTGAATAATTCTTAAAGTGATTTCAAGTCGGAATCGTCGATATAAACGATGAATAGAAGCGATATATTAATGGTGATTTTACCGTTATTTATTTTAATGTATGCTCCTATGGGGCAGAACTCCAGGATAAGTCTAAAAGAGAAACCCATGATTGAAGCAAACTCGTTGATCCTCGGTTCTTCAATTGAGAAACGGGTTGATTACGACGAAGATTTAAACAGTGTGATGTCTTCACCACAGTTTAAAAAATACAGTGGTGTGATTGTTCCCCAAAGTAAGTCAAAAATTGAAGGATTAGACTGGCTCGTGAGACCGACCCGATTTCCGAAACCATTACAAAGCAAAGAATTAGAAATGGACACAGATAAAAATCATGAATTTAAACGGAAGCAAGATGTAACGGAACAGAACATTTTAAAAAATTCAAGAAGTGAACTTCCGAAGTTATCTTCATTTATAGAAAATTACAAAAAATACAAAAAGTCATATTTTATGAGAAAATACACAAATAAAGAGCTCGAACAAAAGGAAGGAACTGATCGCGTGGAAAAATTGAATGAAAATGTATGGTTTTCGAAGAATAATTTTAAAAATCGTCTTAATAGGATGCTAATTGGTCCAATCAGACAGAAAGAGGATGAAAAGAAAATATCAGAAAATAGAACTAGTTTGCAAGTGAGAAAAGAGCTTACCGAGCAAGAAATGAAAATCGTAATGAAAAAAATCGGCCGCGCCATTTCCATGGTATTGGTTGCTTTCGTTATAGTATCGTTGATACTTCTACTTGCTACTGTGCTCGTGTACATTTTCTCTAGAATATTTCACGAAAAACCGTCTAAACAAGAAACGTACGAAGCACCTCAACGATCGAAATCCATGTTCTTTGTCGATATCGAATCATCTCATCACGAGAGCGAAAAACAGGTCAGTTCGGAAGAGGTCCGTAATAAAACTGTATTGACACTGGAAGAAACACTGGGTGACGAAGATTTTGAAGAAACATCTCCCCTATTGTCTGCAAAATCAACATCACCAAAAAATGAAAAGGATAAACATCATTCATCTTCCTCGAATGGTGGAACCGAAAGTGTACAGATGACGGCCAAAATTAAAAGTCCTTCTTCTGGTAGCGTAGAAACCATATATAGTTCTCCATCTTATGCGAATGGCTCGTCTCAGAAAGAGAAAGAAATCCAATTAGACACCAACGTCAAACACCAAAACAGAAACAGTTCATACGAAGAAGATATTTACGATTTTCTAAAATCTTCCGAGGCGTTATCCGAAGAGGAAAAAATTTCTCATTCCCTCACAAAGACGAACGAGGATGTCGATACATTTCAAGACACGGAAACACGAGAGGTCGTTATTTCCAGTAAGGAAAGTGGGTCAGAACAGTACCCAATTAAGTTTTCATTAAACAATCAAACACACAATCTGTATACAGTTCGTACTATCGAACATACGAACTTGCCACCCGCTGTTCAAATGAAGAAAGGAAGCTGGAAGAACTCAAACCACGTTACTCATGCTGGAGATGCGTACAACGTGGATCGTGGTGTAACCTTCAAAGATTATTTTAACACAAATTATATCGTCTTAAATGGACCGACTGGCAAACAATCCGAGAAATTTAGAACGGAGAATTGCGTAATTTTGGACAAAATAAGCGAAAATCTAAGTGAGGAAAAAGATTTGGTGAAAGAACAAATTGATTCACGAAATCGAAACAAATATTTTGTCTCCAAGAATAATAAAACGAATTGTCCAGTAAGAAGAAAAAATACAGACATTACAATAGACGAAGTCGAGAATTTTAATTCTAGAAGAAATTTTTGTCGCGATAAAGAAAAGTCTACTCATTTCGTAGAATTCGTAGACACGGATGACATTTTGGAGTAGAAGCGCACTTAACCGAAGACAAAATTCGTTTATAAATAATTCTTAAATACATTAATTTCGTGTTAATTTGTAAATACATTATTATAGCCTAATTGATTACTTTAATCGAGTTAAATTTAAAATAAACATTTTAAAATTTCTGTGTTGTCTTTTTAAAAAACATAAAATCACTCCCCTTTGTAAATAGTACTAATAATTTTTTAGCTTTCAAGACGCCCTTTTCTGTCCTCATCACGATGTAATCCCACCATGGTGATGGCAGGGAGGCCCAACACATCCGGAGGTTAACGCCTTTTCCCACTGGTATCCGGTGGAAAAAAATGGGGCTAGTGGATACCAGTGGGGATCTGTTCGGATGAAGCTTGAACCCAGATAGACGGGCTTAGTGGGGTTGTTTCTAAGGTCAAGGATATCAATTGGAGACATCGTTTCATACGTAGAGAAGCTTAGTCTCCAGAGGAATCCTACCACAATTTAAAACTGTGCTAAACAATGCCGTAAAGCTACTTGGGCTGCAATTTGCAAAAATTGTAGACCTTTTGTCTGTCTGTCCTTCCTTAGTATCGAGAACGGTGTTAGATATATAAAAGACGGGAAAGCGTAGGAGGAGGAGGCCCCGATTAACTATAAACTAACTTCCATTACAAATCGGAACTCATATTATTTCATCCCGTAGTATGGATGGCCCGTAGATAGTAGATATCCAATTCATATTATTTCATATCCCGTAGATAGTAGAGACCGTTGTTGAGCCTTGACGTTTGTAGTTCTGATATAGTAGTTTAGAACCTTTTCTACAATACATAGTGGCAAAGAAAGGAGCTCTGCTAGTATCAGAGAGGCATTAGTAAAAACAATTCTGAGCACTGAAATTCTGATGGCAAACTGGCTTTGAAGAGAGTAATTTACTTGCTACTGAATTTTTACTAGTTACATGACCACAGCCAGAGGCTGCGTAAAATAGCATTGGTTGTATTGCCCATCATATAGAGTTTTATAAGCTTTATTACAGTATTTAGTCCCCAGGTACACCTATCACATTTTAGCAGCATGTAGTTTATTTTCTTGGCCTTAGACAAGATGTAATCAATATGGCAACGAAATGTGGTTTCTCTCTATTCTCTCTTGTTTTATTTTGTATGACTTTCCTGTTTACACGTGCACTAACTAGTCGATCTGGCAAAGTTTTTTGCGTCTTTTGTGAAAATTGAAATTAATATAAAAATAAATATTTTGACGTTGATTAACGATAATAATAATAATAGTAATATTGTTAATAATTAAAAAATAAAGTTCTTAAAATAAATTGTTCATTCAAATTCATTAAATTTTTATATTTTTAAATTTGATCACCTAAAGTCTTTTATAAATAATAGTACATATTAATTAACTAATTAATAATTATATATTTTGGACCTAAGATTTTTAAGGTTTATAAAAAAATTTTTTTGGTTAAAATCTTTTTATAAAATCATGCCAGAATATTACGTAAGATAGGGAAGGGGAAGGGGATCAAAGAAAATATTACTTTTTCTTACACAGGGGTGGGTGGGGGTCTAGAATGTCCAAAATCGCCCTTACGTAATTTATGGACGGCCCCATCGTTATTCCGCCATTTATTTAAGCAACATTTACTGGAAATACTATACAGAATGGCAGAAACAGGACATTGCCATTACCGAATAGACCTATTTCTGTATGATTTTCATCCTTTTTGAGCTAATAAAAAGAATCTTGAAGGATCATTTGGGTTGGATGATGCCATTCAGCCAGGCTGTTCCCTAAACCATCCAACAATCCCGAATCTCATTGTTGGATGGTTGAGAGAACAGCCAAAAAGATTTCTGTAGATGATCTCCTTGGCTTGTGAAACAATAAGACCTGCTTCAACGTGGTTTTTTTACTGGAATAATGCATGTACCAGTACATTTGAGTTTTGAATACTCATTTATTTTTATGCAATTGCACAAGGGTATCTACAAATTAACTATTATACAATTGAATTAGCAATATTTAATCTGTATACAGTACAGCTATTGTAATTTTTATTTCTATATAACGTTCAACTTTGTTATATTTAACTGCGTACATAGGATTCACCTTGTATTAATAAAATACTGTACAACCGAAATAAAGATTGTTAAATGCTTTAGCTATCATAGTTTATTAACTGGTTAATAAAAATTTCATAATGTCAAGAAAAATAATAATAATTTATATACACATTTATTACTAAGAAATAGATTAAGTAAATTTTGCATTTGTGGAATTATAATTTGCTGCTCACACATTTCAATAAAAATTCATAACATTTTCATACTTAACAAATAGAAACGACTATTTCAATATGCATAAAATACAATATTCTTTTAATATTCTAAATATAATAATAAATCTAGATCTAAAATTTTCTACTTGTGCCAAAGTTAAAATTTAAAAGTTAGAAAATAATTTTATATTCCAGTAAAAATACCATTAACATATGAAAATGTGTATTTAACGTAAAGAATCTAGTTGTGTTCTTGTTGGGCATCCATCTATACAAAATAATACATAAAAACAAATAAATTACTTTAATATGAGTAATGAAAGATGTTAATTTCTTTTTATCTATTGATATAAAAATAACTAAATTAAAATTTTTAGTTTAAGAAAAAAATTATTATTTTATTTTGAAAATTTTCTATTTTTTTTTAGTTGCTATAAAAATCTAAAAAACTATATTTTTATTTACTATTTTTTAAATTTATGACCTAAAGTCATACTTGAAAGTTTTATACAATGATGTTAGTTATTATCATTTTTAAAATAATTTAATTTTCCTTGGAAATTTAAAAGTTTGTTTATATCTAGTCAACATAATTCTGTAATTGTTAACAAAAACATACAAGAAAGAATGATGAAACTTATTAAAAGAATATTAAAAAAAATCTTAAATACAGTCATTATAAATATTTTGTACTTATTTTAAGTTACTCTAATTTTTTCATGCAATTTCCATCGGGATAACATTTTCTAAAGGCTTCAATAAGTGTGGGATCGATAAGTCTTACACCCTCCACTTGATTACCGAGAGTAATCCAGTTTGGTTGTACGTTGTGTGGTCTTCCAAATAATTCTATTTTGCGAGTACCAGGAGATAACCTTTCTATGATTCCGTATATCTCGTCTGGTTTGTGACTAGTTGCCCTAACTTCTGCCACGATAACGTCGCAATCGAGACCTCTGTTAATATCTTCGGGATTGCCTTTAATACCGACTAAACAATGTTCTTTTCCGTGATTAAGCCAATGGCCCGTTCTTCCGGTTCGTATGATTCTTTGCAACTGATTTGTTTTAACCCAGATAATTTCGTCGCATCGTTCATAACCCCAAAGCTGAAGGCACTCTCTTCCCAATTCCATGGCTCGACCGGTCACCCATAGAAAAATAAGGCCTTCGTCTTGTAGACTAGGAATATTTAATCTTCTCATTTCATCGTCTGACATTGTGCCGTAAGGTAATTCCATATGAATGTCCCACGGAGGATCGGCCATAACGACTGCAAATTTTCCCAATATACTCATGTCGAAATATCTTAGATCACATTGAATCCATTGAGATGGATATAATACAGCTAGTTGATCATTATTACCTATTGTTTTATCGAGTTTCACTCTCTTAGCTGGAGGTGGAGGAACGGTGGAATAATCGACTTCGTAATGTACATATTTACAAGTGTCCATGTGAAAACACGTATTTAAAAATGAACAATCACCAAGAGATTCGTCTGTATGTTTCTGAATAATTTTTTTGAAATGTAGCTTTTTACATGGTTCGCTAACGCCGGCCACTTTCATACACTCTTCTTTTGTTCCGTGAGGACAAAACTCTTGAACCTGAGCACCACCTTGAGATCGAAATCTCTCTACAAGTGACCTTTCTTTAGCAGTTGGTTTACTAAGTAGTTCTAATATTTCTTCTCCAAGTTTTTTATTTTCTTTTTCTCTAGTTGAAGGAAGAGATAACAGACTTTCTATAGTATCATTATTTTTACCTTTCTTTAAACCATCTTTTATTTTATGTGGAAGTTTTGATTTTCCTTCATCCTCATTTGGAGTCTTATCTTTTTCATTATCATCTTCATTCTTTTTAATACTTTTTGTGGCAACTAAATCATGAGAAAATGCTTGTAGTTTGGTATGATCTATATTTGACACTACTATACAACTTTTTCCTTCTGGTGTATAACTTTCAGTTATGGTAATAAGCTCTTGAGCAGCAAATTTTTGCAAAAGATTTTCTAGCACAATATGCTTAATTTCAATATTCAATGATTTTGTTACAGAAGACAACAAGCTCCTTGAATCGGTAGGCAAATTAAGGGCTACATCACATAGGCACACTAATAAATTTTGTTCAATTTCAGGATTAATTTTAAATTCTGTAACAATATTTGTTTCTTCTTTAGGAGTCTGTTGTAAGTTTGGAATAGGACTGTTACTCCTCGGACTGCCCGATCCACTTAATTCACCTGTGATACTTAATACAATACCTTCTCTCTCTTTTTTACGACGTTGCAGTCGCTCACGTAAACTGCTCTGCCTTGATTTAAAAGCTTGAATGTCACTCCAAGTATCAGACATCGTAACTGTTCATTCGTACATAAACTTACTCTTTTTTATATTTTCTGAAATATAAATATATTTAAACTTATTGTACATATTACGCAAAGTTTTATACATATTATAATTATGATAAGTCATTTTATTAATTGCAATAGCATTGAACTATTTCTAAATAATTTTATTGCTTTTAAAATTATTAATATTAAAATTTTAATATTTTATAAATTTTTATAAAATTTATCAAAATTACTAACATGGTAAATTTTACATCTCTTAACATGTTTGTTGCTACAGACAACAAAATACTCATGATTTCTTTAGTATTTTTTTTTTTTTCAATATTTTTCAGTATTTATTTTATGTATAAATTAAAGAAATCTTTTTGAAAACAAGTCATTTTAATAGATATCATCAATCTATATGAATAAACTGATAAAACTTTTAATCATAAACTATCGTCACAGATATATGAATAATTATTATTTTATCAATAATTCTAATTAAATGATTTATGAAAAAAATAAGCCATTACAAACAGTGCTTCAAACTGAATTCTTATTTTTAATCAGTGTAGTTTATTTATTTTTAATCTAATCCAATTGTATTTTGAACTAAACAATTATCAGAAATAAAAATCTGAAATTCTAAATATTTGTGATGCATTTTTAAAAAAGAACTTTAACATAAAAGACTATTGTGGTTTTTCAAAAATACAATAGCCCTTCATTATATTGCACACATTGGGAGACTAAACAAATGAGCAATATAACAGATGGTGCAATACAATTGCTGTATGTGTTCACTTGTTTTATAATAATATTTCTTTACCAGTAGAAATTCAATGGCAACTGATTTTTTTTTAAATTATTGGCTAAAGTGCCTTATATTTGTTGACAAAACAAAATTGATTGCAAACATTATATCCTTTGAAATCATATGAAGATAGATATTTTGACTAAGTCCATACTGAAAATCCATTTTTGAACAGATCTACAAACTATACATACTCAAATAGACCCACTATGGCTGTATTTTTTAAATCTAATGGGATGTGAACTTATTCAAATCTGTGGATTTATTTTTTCAAAATTAGTTTTTGTATGTGTTAATGTGAGTGGCTGTAGGAATCATTAAATAAAAACCAAAAAATAATTCTAAAAAAAAAAAAAAAAAACACAGCCAAGAAAATGTAACAATTATTTACTAAATTGCAATTTTGAATAGGTTGTTTATAGTAATCTATAGCTTAGAAAGTGGGGTTTATTTTTTTTTAAATGCAACCGAAATTTAAATTTTTTCCAAGTCTGTGGGATAATTTAAATCTGCGGGTCTAATCGAGTGCATACATTAGGGATTAATACTAAGACAGCGACAATTGCTAAGGAATCTGAAGATTTCATTCAAAGAAAACGTACAGCACACATTTAAAATTTGTACGAAACATTGCCAAATTCCTAACAGACAACTATTTTTGCTGGGCATTTAATTAAAAAAAAACAGCAAAAACAGTATAGCCATGATATGTGAATTCCATGCCGAAATAAATTATTAAAATTGTAGCTAAAATAAATTTAACAAATTCATTTTACCTACAAAAGATATATTTACTTTATAGCATAAATCAGGGGCGGGCAAGCAAAAGTTCAGTGGAAGCCGAAATGTAGGTTCCGCAAGATGCACACACAGTTCTGTACTTTTTTCTATTCTGTACCGCGCTTTTATTATATAATATAAAACAAATATTGAATTTATTTTTAATAAACATATTTTCACAAAACTGTGGAAATAAAATTGTAAAAATAATAATAAAAAGCAGAAATTAACACACTTTCGGCGAGAGCCGCGCGTAACTCAAAAAAGAGCCGCATTGGCCCACGTCCGGCATAAATAATTAAAGTTAATATTCTTTTACACACCGCAAAATAATAAAATTTAAAAAAACTTTCCACATTTTATTCTTTATTTCATTTTTTGCAATTGGTAAGATGAATGATTTAATGTGCATTTTCTTATTTCTCATGTCAAAAAAATTTATGCATAATTTTTTTTATTGTTTTATTTACCTAATATCAAAAGGTAAATTTAGTATAAGTTACTTTTAGTTAATTTGTGTATATATGAATATATACATCATTTGACTGAAAGTAACTTCTACCCGGATTTTATAATTTGGCATTAAATTACGAACTCTCCATTAATTCTGGGTCAAAAAAAATATTTTTGCGCATAATTTGTAACGTTAAGTCGTGATTCGTTGTTTCAATATATAAATATTATAAAACTAAACAATAAAAAAAAAATAATAATAATCGAAATAAATTTACCGATTTCCTCCGCCATCTTATATCAGAAATAACCGCGCCTCCTTGCGGCGGAAAACAATTTGTAAGAAAATTTTGAAAAAATGTTCAGAAATAATTTATTTAAACAATTAAAAATAATAATAATAATAATGTAAAAAATTCGTTAAGTGATTTAATAATTTATTTGATATATTATGCAAAACTTTAGAAAATAAAGAAGTTTTAATGGGGGTCGATTGAAAAAGAATAATTTTCTATATGAGAGTCAATGCAAGAAAAAGGTTGAAAACCCGCTTTAAAAAAAAAGTCCTCCCAAAAGACATCTTGGCAGATCGCCCGAGTTATGCTTTGCCGTAAAAATTAAACCAATTAAATCATTCAGAAAAGATAGATATTCAATCATTAGCTGAAGAAGTTTTTCGGGGGTTTAAACATAAAAAAAAAATTCAAATTTCATAGTTGATTATATTCCTATTTAGGTGTTACTAAGGTAAAGAAAACACGGAAAACTCCACGTGACCAGCCCGTTAGCCAGGCGCGAACCACGACCAACCACCAGTGTTCAATGGTTTCATCCACTCGACCACTGATGGTCAGTTAGTAACCATCGTTGTCGGCTTGACGGGATAGAGATTTTTTAAAATTAACTTTTTTTTACATGTAGAAACATTTTGAAATAGAATATGGATAGAAGAAATATATTACGGATATCTTAAAATGTAGAAATAATGGTGTTATTAAACGTGAAATTCTTGCTTGAAAATTCACATTCATCGTGACGCAGCACATACGTAGTCTATTGACTGTATTCTTGAATAAACAAAAAAAAAAAAAAAAAAAACAAAAAATCACGGGCTGCTCTGTATGAAAGACTTAAATCGGAAACTTTGACCAATTTATTAACAAATATCTGAATTTCATCTGACCTTTTCTCAATTGAAATATACCTGTAATTATTCCAGTTGTATTAATAAATTAATATGATATTATTATAGAGTGACATTTCAGCTGCATTATTTTGCAAGTGGCATGATTTCTCGGTGTTTCTTTCGTCTGTAGAATGATTAGATGTAGAATTTTAAATTGATATACATAAATGATTCATGAAAAATTATATTTAAGCGAAATAGACACCAATACACACACACACATACGGAATTTTTTGCCCTTTACTTTCCCGGCTGTTGTGTATATATAACAAGGAAAAGTATTGGAATCGTGTCAAATTTGACCCTCAGAGTTTTTGCAAATCTCCACGTTTTGAGACCGCCCAAATCCAAAAACAGCAAAAATAATTTCGCATTCTCACTCGCGTCTGCATAGTCGCACGTTAAGAAACGAAATTTGGCATGGTGGTTTGTATATGACGGGCATTAATGCTATTAAATTTTGGTGGTGAAAGGTCCAGAGAGTGAGGAGATAGAAAGGGGTCATGTATCTCGATAGGGGTAGGACTTAATAACGAATAAAACCTTCACTAACATTTACAGTCTTTTATAAAACTCATCCCTACCCTCAAAATTAAGCTTTTCGCTATCTTATAGTAATTAAAAAATAGGTAGAAGTTTACCTAGGTAGTCAGTCCCAATGGCAACCAACGAATGTTATAAATACACGCTTATTTATAATACAGTATAATTATTTAAATGTAATGAAAACGTAAATATTCAAATCACATTTACCATACTTTTATTTCCCTTTCTTTTTTTTGGGAGGGAAAGAACATGATTCATCTATTTGTTTAGAAATTTCATCCTTTCTCTTAAATGACGATTTAACAGTATTTCTAATAGACGTTCCCACTTTCTTATTTTCGAGTTTTTCTTTCTTCTTTGTATTTGTTTAAGGGGCAGAAGGCACACTTTCCGGCTCTTTCCAAATTGGGGTTTGTCCAACACCGGGATATATCCTACTCAAATGCTTAGCAAAATTCAAAACGTTCTTCAGGTTTTAAATGTTCCCATCTAAACATCGTCTTATACATAAAAGAATATAAGTAATCCGATAGATCTTCAGTAAAATGCATAGGCAAATTTTTTCTACTTTTTTAAACACCACTACAAACGTTTTTTTTTTTTTTATTTTCTGTATATGCACACCAGTTACAGGGTCGATAAAATTTTCAGCATGTTTCACGGACATATTGATGATTTGGAAGGCATAACTTCCAATGCCTTCCAAGTCATCAATATGATTGTACCCTTTCCACTCATCAGTGTATACTGTACTTCCTGAATTTACATATTTTGAAATTATCCAGTTAAAACTTTGTTCCGATCTATCATTCACTTTGCATACAAAACACGTGTTATCTTGATGACAAATTCCTCCAGCAATCCAACGAGTTCCCTTCAAAATACGCCCTTTTTCATTTTTTCTTTTGCTTATTAGTTTCATCTATTTCAACTACTTTTTCCGGGCTCCCAATTTTCAATTCTGACAAATTACGTACAGAAATCATAACAAGACGCATATAATTAGCCCAATCTACAGCAATGCGTTTACTATGCCCACGGCCGAACTAGTAGAACTTAATTAACGAACACTCAATACATATTAAATGCCACATAAAAGAAAAAAATACACTCCCTATGAAATTTTTCCAAATTTATCTTTGAATACGGCGAACTATTCATTTTACATCGATTTCATCCAAAAGATATAGAATTACGATCTTTTCTGTAAATTAATTTGCAGCGAAATCAGCAATTACTACAAACAGCATCTACGGGTTGCAAACCGATAAATAGCATACTTTATATCTGAAGATATTCTCTTGTCGACGTCTAATTCTGTTTGTTTAGTTACGGCAACGCAACACTTGGGCGATCTGCCTAGGACAGGGGTCGGCAACCTGCGGCTCGCGAGCCACATGCGGCTCTTTGGATGTGAAGCTGCGGCTCTTTAGTTCCATACGCAAATATTATTTATTTTATTAAAAAAAAAAAAAAATTAAAAATCGTTCTGAATTGATTAACGAGGATTAGGCACTGATTCTATCTCTCAGCCACTTGTACTCGCTTTTCACCGCACCCCTCCCCAGTGACACGCGTCGTCACTGTCGTCAGTCCGTCGGAAGCTCTCGAATGACGCCGTCGTCGGATGTTTCTATTATCTAATTTGTTGTGAAAAACACTACTTATATATGAATAAATAGATATTTTTTCTTATGAATAAATAGATTAGTTTTTTTTATCAAAAAACTAATTTATGCGAGTACTATTGTTGGCAAGAAAAAATTTTGTAGCTCTTTAAAAACTTTGAAATTTTGTAAATTGTAATTTTGGCTCTTCAGACTCAAAAGGTTGCCTACCCCTGGCCTAGGAGGATGCCTTCCGGGAGGTCTTTAAAGGAAATTGGCCCCTATTTTTTAGGCGTTACAAACGTGGAGAAAACCCGGAAAAATCCACGTGGCCGGCCCATCCGAGCGATGCGCGAACCCACGACAGAACTTCCAGTATTCAGGGTACGAAAACCGCTTGGTCACGCGTTTAATTCCGTAAAGTCCGATTCCAACATATGAAAACAATCTCTCAAAGTGCATTTTTTCCAAAAAAGTCTTCAGAAACTTTCATAACCTCTGACATTATATTGATATATAGAAAAATAAATATAATACTGTATTAGATAAAATTTTAAAAATTCTACAAACTTTCGAATTTCATTAATACTATTGTAATGTCACACAACCCAATTACTTTTGTACTATTTAATCTAGAACTTAAATATGTACTGTACTGTACATATTAATATATTAGTAGATTTGATTTCAACCTAGCCTGTTGACGAGATTCCGGAAGTGCCACTATTGGGATTACCTAGGTAAAAACTTCTACCTAAAAAGATTTTATAACAATCTGATAACAGATGGCGCCACACACAATTTTATTTATTTTCCTTAATGACATAAAAGTTTTTTTTAATAAAACCTCATAACAGCTGGGAAAGTTATACAACATTTGTTGCTGGATTTTTTACACAAAATCTCATACACAATAATAACTATTTTCTCAGTTAACATATCATCTTCAAGAGTAAAAAGATGTAAGAGGAATGATTGCTCTTATGTCTATTGATGTCTGACGACTAAAAACTAGATTGAAAGCATTAACATTTCCTCAACCTTGTTAAGTTACGCTGTTAAAAGCATATTGATTACACTTAACATTGGGTAAGGTTGGAAAATTATATATTATTATATATATATCTGTTTTTAACATTTAAGATTCATATTTGAAAGAAGAAAACAAGCAATTATTTGTAAAAGTGAAGATGTTAGTTTAGTTATTTGAAATAAAAGAAATAATTTTTTACACTCATTTTTGTATATCTTCTGCTGTTACAAAATTTTTTGTATAACAGGAAGATACATGCCTGTGCACAGGATTTTTAAAAGAATGGGATTTAAGAAAAAATGACGTTTCTTTTTAATGTAAATTTATTAATATTTACAATATAGTACTGTATATTGTAAATATTTACAATAAAATAGATTATAGAAGAACTGAACAGGTACTAAATAAATATAAATTATAAATAATATACTGTTTTATTAACATAAAAACATTTTTCTGTTTGAATTGCCAAATGGAAGGGGTTAAATAAAAAAACTAAAGTAAATTTAAAATGCGGGAGTTGTAGTCGACACATTTTTTCCGACTCCTCTGGCTTGAAATTCCTCCCAACTCCGACTCCACAGCCCTGCCCTCTCTCTCTCTCCAGCCATCCTACTGTCCATCCTATCAGTAGGAAGGCCATATGGAATATTGGTGTACTGCTGGAGGATCATTCTATTTGTGTAGCTCTAACACAAGCAGGCTAGCTACACAAATAGGATGATCCTATCAGCAAGATAGCCTTCTGTCCATTCTATCATTATATGTGCCAAAGGATTCATTATAATTCAGTCACTGCCAACTTATTATGTATAATAGAATTTATAACTAGTTTCAAAAGTAAATGATAACAAAAATTGACATACTGNTTCTTGTGAGATTTGTGACTTTTTGAAGATCCTATAGATAACCACAAACCTTAATAATAAAGTACACACGCGTTCAATAAGTGCTTACATAGACGAATGGAACTGGAAGCTTTTATTTACTTCCCATAATACACTTCGTTTCCGTTTAATGCCATCTGGCGGCTGGAATTGGTTTTAAGTAAACATGTGACTTTTTATCGTGTTAAGATTTTTAATTTATTGCGAATTATTATTATTTTTTTAAATGTAATTTTGTAAGTTGTTCGTTTTCCTTAAATTTGCTTATTAAAATAAATAGAATATTATAATTTTCGGGAATGGAAATGTCAATATTTATTTTCGCGGTAAAATTTATTCGCGGTAATTGGATATTTTTAAAGAGGTGTGTGTGGAATGGCTGCGTGAGGAATGAAATGGAGGAGTATGGTGTGAAAGTCTGTTTAACAGTGATTTGGATGTGTTGGGAGAATTAATGAGGAGAAATTATTAAAGAGAATATTTTGGAAGAATAGAAGGGAAAGGAAGCAATCAAGAAAATCCTTGTTGGAGCATGTGGATGAACATTTGGAAGAGCAAAAAAAATTATGAGCATGAGAGGTGTGCGAAGAGATGACAAGAGTGTCTGGATGAATCTAATAAATGGATGATGTACGTGTGATTCCTCTTGCTTGTTGTCCATTTCTTCTGAGAAATGAGTGTGACAATATGTATGTATACCGGGGCCGTGGAAAGGCACGGACAGAGAGAGCGTGTGCCCGTGGTGTCGAGATAATGGGATGCCAAAATTACAAAATTGTTACGCGGGAAAACTAATAAATTTGTAGAAAACTGTCATATACGCGTATAAAAAATTATATTATACTATGTACGGTTTCTATGAAATGTTTTTCAAAATTTTCAGAAATGCACAATTAATTTGCAAATGTGCTCTATCTGCTACCTTGCAAACCATCTTACTCGAACTACTATCTCGCACAATAGATTTTTGTTACTCTTTGCGATGTAAATTTTGTGTTATCATACATAAAAAATAAATTTTATAAACACTAAACAAATTTCCTTAAATTTCACTAAAATGCCTTAATTAGCCTTAATTAAAAAGTCTTTAAATTAAACCACAACAACATATTTTATTTAATAAAATCATACAAATATTGTTATGTGCATATTTATTTATTTTTGTGAGTTTTAAATTTGTAACTGATTAATGAATGAAATTATCCAAAATGTGCCATATTTAAATTTGCCTCTGGTGCCAATTGCTCTATCCACAGCCCTGATGTATACTGTATGCATGTTAGGCTCAAAGATTAAAAAAAAAAAACATTGAACAGAAAAAAATGATTAGAATACATTGTGACTACACAAATAGCCACAGGTATTTTGCATCCTGGCTGATTATGAAGAGTCATGATGCATTTGGCATTTTAAAAAATGCCATAATGTAAAATTTGTGTTGGATGTCAGAACTATTGAAAAATAACCACAATGCATTCCAGCATTATCAAGAAACCATGACATGTTGCAGAAACAACACACTTTCAAGAAGAGCAAAGCTAATTCAAAGTCGACTCAATCGTTGTCTGTGCTGATCTGATATTACATTAGCAATCACATCTGATCTTTATCAGTTGAACTCCAAATAAGATCTCTTTGAGCAGTTCTGTGCTCATAATGAGTTTACAACTGCTGACGATGATAGTCTTAAATATAGTCTAGAAGTAAGCAAGGCTTTCTAATCTAATTGTGAGAGATACTGCATCAATAGAAAAGACACAACAAACATTGTTCAAAAGATATCAACTATAATTTTAAATGTTCTAAAGTTCCTGCAAAAATAAATAATTGAGCTTTGTCATTGTTCTTGATAATTTTATATATTTAGACATATATCCTGAAGTACTACAGAATAAACAAGAAACAATTATGTGTTGTGGTTTATTGATAATGCTGATTATTGCCATAGTTTTAACAGTCCTTTTTATAATGCCAGAACATTGGCTCTTTATAAGCAAACAGAATGCAAAAAATATTATATAACTATATTATTATTATATACAGTATACACTAAACTGTATTAAATGCTAATCTCAAGTAGCTTCCTAATGAATATAAGTTGAGAAGCTGAAGCTGTCATAAAACAAGTTAAAACATTCATTTGTGGTAAACTTAAATAGTTGGCAACCTGAGATTAGCATTTAATACAGATTAGAATATGGAGCTAGAAACACGTGAGATGATACCAGTATATATACATTTTTATGTATCGTATAATCTTGGATATTTAAAATTGAATGTGATCTTTTAATGTAGAATATTTTTAAGACTTTTTTCTAAAGAATTCAAACTTAAATTTTCACTTTAATATTATAATTAAACTATAGATATTTTAATAGTGGTTATATTTGTTTAGTTTAGATATAGAAGTTGAAATAATGTTACAAGTAGAAATTGTTAAAGATGGAAAATTACACATTGGTGAAGAAAATTGGAAGAGGAAATTATGGAGAAGTTTGGTTAATAATTAATAAACGAAATCAAAAACAGGTATTTATATATATTTTTTTAAATGTAATACTCAGATAGGATACTTCAAATAGATGAAATATTCTATTAAGAATAGTTAAGACTAATTCTGAATTGTTCTAATCAATGCTTCATATAAATGTAGGATTTATCAATTATTTCAAAAATAATTAATGAATTTGTGGCATAAATCGTTTAATATAAAACAGTGTGCAGTCCTGATACTTGAATATATCTTCTGAATCTGTTGCTTAAAATATCTTAAAAACCCGTTAAAATCTATCAAGAAATTTTTATGTAACAAATATTTTTTGAGTTTATTTTACATCTCATCTACATAGATTTTTTTATATCGTACATAATTATCTCAAACTACCAATTGGTAGAGATATTGTTTATGAAACTGTATTGGAGCATTAGAAAGTCAAGATCACTTCAATAAAAAGACTAATTTTATTTGTGGGATGCATTTCGGTCTTCACTACACCCTCTTCAGTCATTATTACATAAATATTGATACCAACAGTAATTGCATAAACTTATACTTAACATTTCAACTTGAACTTAATACATAAAAAATTGCAAAAGAAAAAACAAATCTGCATTGTTTTAATTACTAAATGTTACATGGACATACATTGCTAGCAGTGTGTGATCATCATCCATCCTGACATAGTTGGGGTGTCAGCCACCCATGACCTCACAAATTTATCATACATTTGATATTACTTATTCAGAGCAACTTTTCCTTTGTCATATGCTGCCATGAATTCATTTAGTTTTCTACATAGCTACAGCTTCAGATATACTATTTTAAAATGAAGATGCATTCCTCCAGTGTAAACATTATCACTGTCTGGAATAGAGAAAAAGCATTAAATGACTAATCTGTTTTCTTGTGAGATTTGTGACTTTTTGAAGATCCTATAGATTTGATTAATAAATTTCAATTATTTTTCAGTTTCTGAAAATAAGGAATGTTATAATTTTTTTAATAAAATGTTAAGAATCAATAGTAATAATAATAAAAATAATTTAAGTATCTTAAAAGTGATTATTTCTAATATATGTTTATCTTTCAGTATGTCTTAAAGCAGATTAACATGAAAAATGCTAGTGAACAAGAACAAAGATCAGCTTACATTGAAGTGAAATTACTCTCTAGTTTAAAACATCCTAATATTGTTTCCTATTTTGATTCTTTTCACAATCCTAATGGGACATTAGATATTATAATGGGATATTGTGAGAAAGGTGATTTGTACACTTACATTAGAAGTCGTAAAGGAGTGTATTTTCAAGAAAAGCAGATTATTGAATGGTTTATACAGATCTGCATGGCCTTACAGGTAAGAAATTTGATATGGAATTCTTTTTTAACTAATCATACTTAATAATTTCAACAAATACCAGAAGAGAACATTCAATTTAGAACTCATAAGCTTTATAATATTGAAATAAAATGAATCTGAGTGGTCTTCGTCCCCACACTTGAGTGGACTAGACCCTGAACACTGGGAGTTCGGTCGTGGGTTCGCACCTCGCTTGGATGGGCTGGCAGCATGGAGTTTCCAGATTTTCTCCATGTTGATGGTGCCTGAATAGGGGCCAGTTTCTCATAAAAGTCCTCCCTGAAGGCATTCTTTTCCCGCACATGATTAGGCCTGACATGATTCTATAAGACCGGCTCTTCGGTCGCATAGCGATCACCCACAAGTCTCTCAGAGTAAAGGAGTACAGCCATAAGACTCCATATGAACTACCATCTACTAAAAGAAAGAAAGAGTAAAATGAATGAAATTACTTCAGTTAAGTGCTTTTCATTTAATCTCATATTATTTTAATTGTATTGTTGATAATATTAAGAAAAATTTATTTTGTTTTTTCATGCAATTAATTATTGTAATGTTAACCACTTTTTTTTTATAAAAATAAAACCGATATTTTAAACTATGAAGATTAAGAAGTACACTCAAAAGATATCAATATTTTATTAAATGTTTTTTTTCTCTATGTGAAATTTAATGAATGATTTCTTTATAAATTTTTTTTATTCAAAAGCAAATATACTCTAAGTTGTAATGATAAGATTTATGCTAATGAAAGTCATTGTGATTTAACTAGATAAAGCAAATGTGCAAATAATTAGGATAAACAGTAACTTTTAATAACAACTATTATTTATTATGATTATGGCATTGATTATAATTCATTGATGTTATTTGTCTAACAAGGAGATGGCCAGACATTGTCCTCTCAGATTCAAATGAAACTTGGTACAAATAATACCTGGTCCAAATAATAGGACCCACTTCTCAAGCATTTCTGAAAAATGGTCCTCTGAAAATCGAGCGTTTATCTTATAAGTCTGGAAGTTCTATCACAAGAATGGCAGTAGTCAAGTGGATAAGGTTCTAGACACTGGACCTACATGATAAGGGTTCAATCCTTTGTGAGTTTAATTTATTTTTTAATATGTAACATAGTTATTTTATTATTTTAATATATTATTTGCATTATTATTACTATTCTTATTCCTCACGTAAGCTTCAGATATAGTGATATTGTTTTATTTGAAGTGGTACAAACATAAGTGCACGAGGGAATTGTCCATAACATTAACAATTAAAAGAAAAATGCTGCAACTATGCTAACTATTTTTATATTAAGGACTTGTCTTTTTTGTCCATGAGCAGTAACATCTGAAGCTTATTTGCTTCTGTTGACAGAGTATGTAACCACAAGCTAAAATATCTGAAAATAAATATGAAGAAATAAAAATTTTGTTTAACGACATAAAAGAGTTAAATCTACAGAAACTTTGTTTTCATTAAACAGGAAACGAAGTCACAATTTTTAATCTCACTTTATAAGCTCTAAATGTGAGGAATAAGAATACTAAGATAGAATAATAATTTAAGTAAGATAAGAATAATAATTCTAATGGTATGCTAAAATAATGAAATAACTATGTTACATATTTATTATTATTTTTTAAAACTCAATTTGCCTAGAATTGAGTCCATATCAAGTAATTCCAGCATCTACAACCTTATCCACTCAGTTACTGCCATTCTTATGATACACAGAGCTTCCAGACTTATAAGCTGAACACTCAATTTTCAGAGGCCCATTTTTCAGAAATGCTTGAAAGGTGGGTCCTGTTAATTAGACAAAGAACTATTTGTGTTTAATTAATTAAGGCTATGTGCTTGCCAAGTTTTGTTCAAATCAGAGAGGACAATGTCTGGCCATCTCCTTGTAAGTTTAGATTCAGCATAATAAGCGTGACTGATTAATATAAATAATTTAATAGAATTGAAAATGATAATTCATTTTCAAATTAATTCATTGATACACATTGAAAATATAAATATAATGAAGAAAATTCAATAGATTATTTCCTGATATCTATGGTTATAGAAAAAAACAACATGCTAAACAAGAATAAATGTTCATAAAAGTGTTAAATTACAACTAGATATTATATTGATCTCCATAACAAAAGTTATGACTATAAACATTATATAAATATTGTATAAATAAAAGACATATTGTATAAATACATATTGTATAAATAAAAGACATAATTTTAAAATTAACTATATACTACATAGTAAGAGTATCATTTCATCACCGTCAAATAATATTATTTCTGAAATGGTTTAGATAGTTTCAAAGAACTAAATCAGTGGTCCCAAAGTGGACACTACCACTCCAGGGGTGGTGAGTAAAGGGGTGCTGTAAAAAGAAGCAAAGGGTAGTATGGGGCACTGGAGGTGTGACCATAAGTGAGGGTTTGGGTCACTGACAGCCTTTCCTTTTCTTTCATTAAAAAATGGATAAAAAAAACACTGCATTTAATGGTTTCTATATATTGACAACAATGCACGGTAAAGACACAAAGTTGTGAGGTTCATAGAAAAGCTTTTTTAAGATATTTTCCAAGCATTTCTGACACAAGGGAAAATGGATTGTGGTATAGTTGGGTGTATGTTTATGGAACCAAGGGATGGTGGCTCAAAAAAGTTTGGGAATCACTGGACTAAATGATACAAAATATCATCTGTTATGAATTGGTAAAGTTATTTCAAAAAATAAACATAAACAAAAAACATAAAAATTATATAAAATATTCAATATTTATGTATGTAAGTGTGAGGTCCCAGATAGTCTGAATCTCTCCTTAAACATACAAAAAATTTGATTCATTTAAGACAAAGTCATTTAAGACATTTAAAGTTGTTTAAAGACATTTGAAGTCATTTAAGACATTTTGTTATAAAAAATGTATGAAATAGATCTNTACATTTCTTAAGCTTCAAAATCATATATTTATTTTTCAACATAGCCTTAATGATGACTAACACATTTCTCCCAACGTGTAACAAGTTTTTTCATGTATGTAAGTGTGAGGTCCCAGATAGTCTGAATCTCTCCTTAAACATACAAAAAATTTGATTCATTTAAGACAAAGTCATTTAAGACATTTAAAGTTGTTTAAAGACATTTGAAGTCATTTAAGACATTTTGTTATAAAAAATGTATGAAATAGATCTGTTGCAAAAGTATGAAATAAACAATACGGTCGACCTCATGAAGTCATGAGTTGTTGCAAACTAACGGGTTGGAATATTTAAAATGTCGATAGGAAAGATTGAGCTTTAACTCCAAACCTTGTAGACATGACAAAATTTAGAAACAAACAAGAAAATGTAACATTCCTTTAAAAGAAAAACTATCGTGTTGTAAGTTATAAAAACACAAAAAAATTCTTAGATGGCAGAAAAAAACAATATCATCGCATGAGATACAAGTGAAAGTTTCAAAGTTCGACCAACACTTTCAGACAAAGTCGAACAGAGGTGTCAAACTGATTAACGTAGAGTGAACTTTCCCACACCCAATCTGGTTGTCTAACAGGAATGAGACCAATCAGAAGGTGGAGAGAGAAATTTAAGACAATTGGGACAATCAAATTCAAAATTTCAAGGAGAAATTCTTTATAAACCCGAGATTCAAGGACAAGGGTGGTCGCTTCTCTCTCTTTCAACCTGTTTGTTCTCTGTGTCGGTTTCCTTGTCATATTGAACTTCATCTTCATCACTTCACCTACGTCCTGCCACTCTATGCTGACTTTCAGCTAGTCTGTCCTGCCAAATGCCATCAAGACTCTGACCGATTGTCGTCAGATTGCACAGATAAAAGACTGTGACCATAGACTGAACTTTCTACATATCAGTTCAAGAGAAGAAATCCTTGACTGGAATTATGTAAGTATTGTCTTTCCAAATAAACAGCTTGTGTTGTAAAGGTAACTGTCTCAGTGTCTACATTACTTTTGCATCCCTCATTCCTCTTGACAAGAAGAGGGATTAGCTTAACCTCTCCCTTTTCTATATCAGCAAATCTTGCATAAGTGATAATGTCAAATTCATTATTGGGTTATAACCTGGCTAATTAAATATATAAATATTATGAAATTTGGACTAAAGATAGGCAGTTAAGGTGCTGTCTTATATTAAATTTAATAATTAGAATTAAATTAATTAAATAAAAATATTCTGGAAGACATTTTGGTTATTAATGGATGATTTGGGCTTGGTTTAATATATATATATGTAAGTGTTTTTGATAAAGTTTCTATATACATAGTAAACAATTTCTGGATATAATCATATTGCCAAATGATCTTCTGGATTATCTAGTGGGCTATATTAAGGTTAATAACTAGATATACAAATCAATTTGGCCAGAGATTAAGCCCCAGTCAATGCTGTAAGTGACCAATATGGTTATTTCTAAATTAATTAATAGTTCTGAAAGTGGAGATTGGTTGAGGTCTGGGCAGCATAACTGGCAATGCAACTGCACAGTAAGCAGGGTGCTGTAGGTTTGAGTCCAGCTCCAGGCCAATTATTTTCTTCTAGAATATTTTAAATCTAATTTAATTTAATTCTAATTATTAAATCTATGAAGAGATAGCAGCTTAATTGCCTATTTATAGCCAAATTGATTTGTATCTAGTTATTAGAGAGGTTGCGACCGACATTTTCATTGCGAAAACGTGTACGTCAGACATTCAGCGCCGCCTTCCTGTAAGTCTAGAAGTTTGACAATGGCATTTGATACGTCGAGCATGATTCCACTGATGTTCCAAATGTCTGACGTACACGTTTTTGCAATGAAAACGTCAGCCGCAACCTCTCTATTAACCTTAATATATCCCAATAGAAAATCTGGCATATCATTTGGGCAATATGTATTTATAAATTTTTATTTTATTTCATGAATTTTTTTAATTCTTATGAATAATTACTTTAAAAATTTGAATATATATACATATATATTTATTCGTATTAAAAAATTTTTTCTAGTATTTACATGAAAGAAATATTCTTCACCGAGATTTGAAAACTAAAAATATTTTTTTGACCAAAAGTAAAATAATCAAAGTTGGTGACCTTGGTATAGCACGTATTTTGGATGGCACTTGTGATTTGGCAACAACTCTAATTGGCACTCCTTATTATATGAGTCCAGAAATCTTTTCAAATCAGCCATATAATCATAAGGTACGTAATATTAAATATATACAGAAAATAAAAATACTTAACATTCTATTATTATTTTTATGGTAAATACATACAAATGCATTTGAAAAAATTTACTTCAGCTATAGTAAATACTCAGAATACATTATCTACAGGGTGTAACAAAATTCCATGCCAATATTTTAGGGATAGATTGATAAAAAAATTAAAAAATAAGCTTAAGATCTTTCGTAACGTTTTACAAAATCTACTTCATTTTTTAGATATGGCCTATTAGAAAAAGATAGTTTTGAAATTCCTTGTCCTTGCCAAAGTACTAATACTACAATTTTCAACTTTTTAAAGTAATTTTGTACTTTTTTAAGCTTTGTCAACAGATTGAGGTAACTAAATGTTGCACAAGTAGGCCCTGTTGTAATAAATGTAAACAAAATCTTATCCACTTTAAGATTTTGCAGTATCAATCTGCTTTACCATAAAAAAGAATAGTTGGAAGGCAAGAGTTTTTCAATATAAATTTACTTTGAATAACATTTTGTTTTTTTTTTTTACAAAATTTAACAGAATAACTTAGAAGAACTGAACATAATGTCCTTTGCATTCATAGAGCAATTTTTGTAAATTATTAAAGAAAAATAATTTATAACATTTAAAATAAAGCTTCAGTTTTGTACATGTTGATAACAAAGAGAAAACAAACAGCAATGTCCTTTTGGTGAGAAGTTTAAAATTGGTTTCTGGTGTGATTTTTTGTCAAGTCAGATCTGAAATGAAGTGGAATTTGAAAAATGTTTATAGCGTATTTTAAGTTTAATTTTAACCCTTGAATCTATCCCTAAAATATTGGTAGAGTTTTATTACACTTTATATATTAGGTTTAAGATGAACTTTATAAGCCTTATTATTATTATTAACCTAACTAATTTTAAGATGTATGATGGTAGGCTGAAAAGTAATGCACACATGCTTGTAGAACACGAACAAAAACAAATAGCAAGATCGGGCAAAAAGTACATTAAAGTACAATTCTTAAGCTTTGATCAAAATCATATATTTATTTTTTAACATAGTCACCATTAAGGCTAACATATTTCTCCCAACATGTAACAAGTTTTTTCATTTTGACACTGAAAAATTCTTCCGACTTTTCTCGAATCCAGGATTTGACAGCTGCCTTCACCTCATCGTCCAAGGTGTAATGATTACCCTTGAGGTTTCTCTTGAGTAGAGGAAAAAAATAAAAATCGCAAGATGCAAGATCAGGGGGAATAAGGAGGACATGAAATTGGTTCAAACTTCAGATTTCGCAGAGCCTCTCCAGTTGCATGCTAGGTGTGTGGACAAGTGTTGTCATGTTGCAAGATTATTGGTGCCAGGCTGCCTCTAATACAATAAATAATCATCTGGTGCCAATAATCTTGCAACATGACAACACTTGTCCACACACCTAGCATGCAACTGGAGAGGCTCTGCGAAATCTGAAGTTTGAACCAATTTCATGTCCTCCTTATTCCCCCTGATCTTGCATCTTGCGATTTTTATTTTTTTCCTCTACTCAAGAGAAACCTCAAGGGTAATCATTACACCTTGGACGATGAGGTGAAGGCAGCTGTCAAATCCTGGATTCGAGAAAAGTCGGAAGAATTTTTCAGTGTCAAAATGAAAAAACTTGTTACAACTGT